TGTTCAGCGCCGCTTCATATAAGCTCGATGCTCTGGGCTCCGTGTTTCCGATAACGCGTCAACAGTTCCACTTCGGGAGTTCAGCGAATGGTTAAAAATGACAAGAGCCGCTACATTGCCGATGCAGGAGCACCCCTAGAAGCACCCCTGCGCTGGAGCGGCATATGGGAAGACAGGCAAGCCGGTTCCGCGCGTCGAAGTCATGGAGCTTGCTGATTGTCTTCTGCATTCGGATGAAAGGACGAGATGCAAAGGCAGCCAAGATTGGAACCGCAAGGTCGTTCGATGCAAGGTAAAAACTGGGATTGGAGTTCACGCCCTCGACCAAAACTTGAGTCGTTGAAGTTGAACTTCGCGATCACCCAGGCGAGCTGTCTTCTTAATGCGAGCGGCTTTGTTAGACAGCTGGCCAATGATAAATTTGCGCCGCATGGATTTTGCACCCGGCCTTCTTTGTACCCCAGCGACCTTTGCTGTTTGATCGTTCACATGCCCCACTTTGACGGTCAAGGTCTTCCCAAGCAATGACTGCGCAAGAGCCATCTTAATCGAAAACCTGCTATACATGTTGTAAACCTTCATCAAAGGTCTGAAACTGCTTCGCTCCAAAGAACGACCGATAAAGAGAGGGACCTATTCTCACCGAGCTTTGGACGGGGTCGAAGTTGGGGTTCCGCTGGGCTGCAAGGACGAGAGATGTGAATAAGCAAGACATTGCGCTCACCAAACCTGCTTCAAAAACCTCCAGAAGCCGCACAACAGGATCGCACCATATGGATGGTAAACACTGCCGCAGAAAGGTTACTTGAAGAAGGTCCAAATTGGTCCAAAGTCTGGGGACCTTTGAATCCTTTATCTCACCAGTTGAAACGAGTGTGTCTGCCAGGACCAGTGAGACAGCACGGGGCGTCCCGCTGTAAGTTCCAACGTATGTGCCCGGACGTGGCGGCTTCCAAATGGCTACTCTACTTTCTCAAACCGGGATACCAAGACGATTATCTGGTCACCAGAAGGGGCGATCCAGCTCATTGCGAGGGATACGGGCTTGAATTTCCCCAGGAACAGTGCACACGTGGCGACTTCCCTGTGCGCGAGGCATACATCTACAATGTCCCCAAAGCTCAAAAGCGCGAAGTACGTGGACGTTGGCTTGCATATTATCGCGCACTAGCTAACGAGACTCAGTCCTGCCAGAGGGCGGCTTGAAGACCTGAAGACCAACCAAGAGAGACGCCCAATATATGCAGCTTAGATGTACACACCATCCAATACCCGGCAAGCGCGCGCGCTACGCCTGCTTACTAGTGGGCGTTCTAGGACCCGGCCGGAACGCCTGTCATCACGTGAGGACATTGAAGCATGGCGTTTTGGTCCCCAAAAAGTCTGTGCCCTGAGCACCGGGCCGCCCTGTCATTGTGGCCTGGTGATGACGTTCCGTTACGGTGGAAGCCCTCTAAATTGCAATACCTCCAAAGATCATCGAAAACTTTCAACTGCTCAAGAAGGTTAGCAGCTTACGGGTGGGTGCCGGAGTAGCCGGGGGCGGGTTGGAGGGGGTAGGCGACCCGCTCGGGTACTTTCCGGATGCACACGTGGCAGCAGCTCCGTTGGACAGCCCGCACGACTGGCTGTCGCAGCACACGAAGGTGGTGCCAGCATCTCCGAAGCACTGCGGAGAAAACGGCGGCCGGGTACATAGCGTTTTGGCCTCGTCGTAGCGTGGGCTTCTGTGCTCGAGAAATGACTCCCCTGAAACGCTTGTGCCGATCCGAGGGGTTGAGGAGTGCCGGGGAGGGAGGGTTCGGCATGATATCAGCAGAATCGACGACAGCAGGTGAGAGATTCAGCTAACGAGAGGATCGCGTCAACATCTGGAGGGGCCCAAACCCAAGTTTGACTGAGAGAGGGGGGGATGCTACCAACCTGGTTGGGATAGTCGGGATAGGCCGAGCAGTCAGCAGCATCTGCACACAGAACCTGAAATGAGAACTCTCTCACTTCCTGAAATAATTGGATATTAATCGTCTGACCACGAAGCTGACAGCCAGCTTCTCCGCCGGAACTCTAGCTAGGATCGGAAGCACTTCCTACCGCCTTGCCACAGTCCGTCTACAGGGCACTTTGCGGCTACCTTGTGGAGTTTACAGATTGAACCCGAGGCGGTAATATGTCCCATTTTCTCGGTGTCCCCTTGCGAAGATCAAGGTCCAGGGTCTTTCAGTTGCAGACCAGTTCGGCTTTTGACAATCTCAGTTAGTAATCTTGTCAAAGCGCTTGAGGCCCATGGTCTCAGAGGATGTCTTTGTGAATGGTCCAACTCTGTCGCCATCTTAGGACTCTGTGCGGCAGATACGAATGAAACCCTCTTCCAGGGTTACCAACTTCATGCAGAAGCAGGTGTAGTGAAGAAACGCTGTGCGGAGAGCTATGTACACCACGATCTTGGTGAGCGCCTTCGATCACCGAGCAATATTATACCATCAGAATCTTTGACCTGAGATGAAGTCTGGGCGTTCTGGGTGGTTGTGTCTTACATGATTAAACGATGCTTGTACTCAGCAACAGCACAAGGAGGGCAAATGCGGAACCGTTCATCTTCACCCAGGCGCGCGGGGAAGTGGACCAGCTGTCAGTCTTCAGACTGCACATTTGACACAGCTGTCAGCATTGCCAGTGGGAGAGTCTCAATGAGGACCAGGAAGCAACTTCGAAGTCAAGGTCTTGAAGAAAAGGCACGGGTGCGGTACTAATCAGCAAGAGCTCAATATTGACCTGCAGATAACTGTGGAACTGAAAATGTTAACAAAAGCTATAGCAGCAAAGTTCAGGGTACTCAGGAATTCAAACGTTGCCTTCAGCATTTTCGAACACCAGCAGTTTCCAGCTTTAGGGATTGGGATTGATTGTGACCCGTGCATCCGCCCAGTGCTGCCACTCAATGCTGATGTCATGCGACGCCATTTGCTGGCGCCTCCTCAATGACCAATGAAGAACCCAACAGAAAGAAAATGCTGATGCTACAATGATGTGAATACGCTCTCACCTGAAGAACCGCCCTATGCTGCTGGCCGCCCGTTACCCTCGCTTGCGCAAACTTTGCGCATCACTGTATATACTACCTCTGGGGCGCGTCAGCAAGGGCAGCGCAGCGATCAGAAAAAAGGCGCGTCAACGGCTGCCCCCTTTTGAGAAGGCAAGATGCGACTTCCAAGTTAAGCTGAGCATTGCAGGGGGAGTCACAGCTTAGAATGAGGCCAACCTGCTTAGCCTTGTGAATCTAGCTCAGGGACGCTAGTATTCCCCAGCTTGGCGCCCGTGCGCGTTGGATGCAGCTTACTCTCCCTTCCGCGTGTTCAGACAACCGCAGAATTGAGAGAAGAGTCGTCGCAAGTGTCAAGGATGTGAGGTAGCTTCAAGCTGGCTGGTAATGATAACACTCTTCAGGATTCAGCGCATTAACAGGTCATAAACGTCAAAGCGACGTGTAGTCCAGGGACCAGGACCCCGCCGCAGGTCTTGACAATTAACTGGTCTGACAGGCCGGCCCTTCACACAACAAGCAACAAGCAACACGAAGCGAGGAATGGAGTCAAGCCTAAAGGGGTTTCTAGTTCAGATCTGACGCTCCGAGTCAAGGCTAGGAGCTGGCCAGAGGCGGCCGCAGCAGCTCAGGACTTCGTTTCAGTTTGAAGCCACACTGCACAGCCTCAGCTGCAGGGCAGCCAGGGGCGGTGACACCTGCGCAGGAAAAACCTCTGCTGACTCTTGACTCGATTGACATTTCTGTCGCCACCAAGCAAGGCTGGCCACCGACCCAGTGAGGCTCTGACTGTGGCGACCACCGAAAATCTAGGCATCATGCAATGATCTTGGTCGATCTCAATGTCAACCAATCACAATGCGCGTGTACAGCTCTGCTAGATCTGGGGAAGGTACTACCCTACCTACTGGCCAGCGTCGCAAGTAGGATACTGGCAACGCTCGCTTGCACTAAAAGCCGCTTGCACTAAGATACACAACTCCCGGGCACCCAAGCTAAAAACCCGAACCAAACAAATCACGCGCTCCGCACCCGCACCCACCCTAACCACCAAGCTAACCCTACCCGTTCCCCGGGTGCTTATCTTAGTGCAAGCTAGCGTTGCCGCGCCGGAATGCAAGTAGGACAAAGTACACTATTATATTAGTGTCTCCGGAATTTCTTCAGTGTTAGCACCCTCCCGTGCCGCGACCATAAAATTGATAAATGAACAGGTCGTTGAAGCTGGCCGGTAGGTACCACACCTGCACAGCGGTCATCCGGGCACTTGTTATCGCCCGGCCGGGTAGCTGGACGACGGGCAAACCTTCCCGGCAGTGTCACCGGGAAAATTGAGGGGTCTCCGGGATGTACTCGGTACCATGCCGGTGCCCGGTCGAGGAGGACCGGAGTCCTGCATCCAAGCAAACAGATCATTCTGACACATGTCAACAGTCAGACCATCAATTGACGCCCTGTGAAAGTATTTACTCTGACAGATCGACCGGAGACACTAATATAATTGTGTAGATTGTCCCTTTTGCGCCAGTGTCTGATTGGCTGATCCTAGCCTGAGGAACGTGTCCCCATCCTCCAGGCTCCGATCTGCTGGCTTTCAAGTTTTAACGTGGTCCACTCATAGAAATATCACCTACTCTCGATGGTGACATTGTCTGACACATACAAACAAGGTACAAACATTTAACAGACGTATGTTGCGTTCACGTTCCTGTTTACCGACCGGGGATCTCCAGGCCGGCTACTTTGATAGTACCGGTATGAATGGGATGAACCGATCTCGATGCTAGCCCTAACTAATAAAGAAGCGGGCATCGAAACCTGATTTTATTTAGACCTCCATTGCTTTGAAAGCAGTTAAATAGGTAGGTACCGTAGTCGGAAGTTTGACAAACCACGAGTCGAGGGTCGCGAAACACAACCATCAAGTAAATAATCTGGACTAAAACTTTGGGTCGAGCGCGGGGCTCCGCACACCGGGCCCAAGGCCCCGGGGCCCCGCGCTCTCTACTGGATTGGGTGATGATTGGGATATTACGCTATTGCATTGAGTCTTGACTATCTAAAAAGTGCGGGGGGACTCCGATGACGACATTCTTGAATGAATGGCGCACATTGGTACAAGTTGAAACAACCCATGTATTACGGCAGCTGGGTAGCCTGGGGCCCTGGGCCCTGGAGGCTGGTACCCGTTGGCAAATTTGCGCCTGCGGCCTTTGAGAGGTGGGCACTACTGCCACTGCCAGCACGGGTACGTCGGAGGTGGGCGCTTTTAGGTTTAGGTTTTTGGATCTCATTTTACAACGTCCGGGCACAATCAGTCCTGTTCTGAGAATTTATGAACATGCTCAAGTTCGTCAAGAAGGAATCGGAAAGAGTCCAGTGAGTCGAGACCGGCCACCCGTAACCCTCAGCCTATAGCTAGCTGACGTATACGTACCAGCTCCATTATGCTGAGCTCACAATCCGTTCGTGCCGCATCATGTGGGTTACAGTCGGCAAACTAACGCGGGCCCGCTGATTTTGCCACTCGCGTGAGAGCTCAGAAATCTACGGTCGATGGTTGGCCAGTAGCACGTCATACTAGTACATAGTACTTACTACTTTAAGTGTGCTTCATGTGTCTCAGGCTCTGCCAATCACAGTAAGTACTAAGCAGTACCCGGCCCCTGGTAAGTGATTACACTGATCGAATTGATATTAGTAGGTGATTAATCTTGCAGTTGGACCATGCTCAGCGGGTATATTATACCAGTTTGTTAGTACCGCTACATGATGGAAACACCTATGTCGACAATGTGTCTGAGTGATCGAAAGGCTGGACAGAGCTATCTACTTGGGGCCGCAGTTTCTGGTGAATTGAGGCAAAGTGACTTGATTGATCACATTGGTAGGTTTAGCTCGGCTGTCACGTCAGACGTCTAGCTATACAAGAGCTCATATAGGCGCTGTTAGTACAGCTGGGACTCGAGGATCCACAGTGCCGCGCTTGAGTGCCGCGCTTGAATGCAGACAGCGCATGTGGGTTCTGTCACACACAATTCAAGCTGCTCACAAACACCGAAGGTGATATCTTTCCAGAATCGGACTAGTAGTCAGAAAGTCGAATATTTTCTCACAGCTCCAGACATCCGCATCGTTGATCATGAGCAATAATTTCTCTTCTATCAATCGCAGGCACCACCGTCGTGACCTCACAGCTTGATGCGCCCACTTGCTAGATACTAAGCCGCTAACTCTATCTGCACTGAAGCAATCCTTTTTGGGTGGAGAAAAATGGCGCACCTCGCGGCAGGTCCCTGTTTCCGCGGACTCGCAGCTGCGCTGCTGACGTTGCTGTGCGCGTCCAGCGCTGCTAATTATTAAGGCAAGCGCTCAGGGCATCAACCCCGCCCCTTCAAGTGGCCTGGGAGCCAACCCGTAAGTGCTAGCTCCGTCATTACAAGGCTGCAATCTTCTCCAACCCAACTTTGCATGCACGGACTGTCCTGCAGTTCAGAGTGAAAAGATAAACAGGAGGTCGATTTTCAAAGTAGTGGCGAGCGGCCGAGTTCGTTTTGTTATACGTACACACTTCTGACTCTCAGAGGTCGCTGAATAAAATATTGACATATGACGTTGCGATCACTGTCTTTGAACGGAAGGCCTTCCGCTGGCTGAGGGCGTAGAGTTCCAGACTAAGACAGCGGATTCGTTAAGAACGCGAACGGAAGGAGCAGGCTAATTAGCCCCAGAAAGAGTGCCATGCAATTCAGATGCCAATTAAAGGCGTTCAAGGGGACCGACTTAGATAAACAAGTAGGTGCCGATGCGGATCAGTGGGGTGATATCTGTTAGGAGAGCGTAATCAGGTTGAGAATGTTGCATAAACGGTCGTAGAATTCGCGTAGAAGTAGCTGATAGACGAGCAGCCCACAAGCCTCCAAG